ACGTTAGTAGTTACGTTCTACTACTACACGTAGTACGTTCGTAGTCTCGTACGTACTACTACTTCTCTACTAACTAATAAGTAGTAGTAGTACGTACCTCCTCCCTCCCCTCCCCTCCCTCCTCTCTCTCTCTCTCTCTCTCTCACACACACACACACACACACACACACACACACACACACACACACACACACACACACACACACACACACACACACACAAACACCCACCCACACCCACACAAACACACATACACAGCCATGTTGCCAAATTCTACTAGGCTCAAACAGTCTGACAACCCAAACCCATGACTAAAACCACAACCAATACCCGCATCCATGCAACATATGGCAAATCCTTTCGTAAACTAAACCAGCCTCCCAATTCCACTAAATGTAGAACCAAAAATTTATTGCTTTTAAATCTCTCTACTAATTCTCTAAATTTAAACACAATTCCAATTTCTTAAAACTCAATCAGCAACTAGTATATCTGTTCAGATACTTATTAAAGTTTATAATGTCAGTTGATAGATTTGTAAAATTCAACCATTGAGAAAATAATTATAAATTATTTTCATATATATATATACAGAATTATTTTAGAATAACAAACTTTCTTCTATTATTTCTTTTCTATGCAAGTTAATAAAAAAGTGCAGGTACCCAAACCCCCATGAAAATAGTAGAACAAAAGGGTTCAACACCAAATTGGCTAAAACTCTGAGCATTTGGAAATGCATGCATTCAATCATTCCAAAAGGGTGCCCGCCTGACGTTAAACTCACCCAGAATCCTAAATTTCATGGAGGGCATTGGCCCTCTTTAGTATTGCACGCATCTTAGAGGAAGTTCCCTCCACCCCTCCCTCCCTCCCTCCCTTCCTCCATACATGTGTGTGTATGTGTCATTGGTTTTTTTTTTTTTTGTTGAAAATAATGTGTGTCATAGTTACCGGGAACGCCCATGTAGGGGTTTGCTTCCGCCCAGGAATCTCGATCCCACACTCCGAGTGACCAGATCTCGATTCTGGACGCTTCCTTGCATATTTGAATCTCTTACCCAGATTTATGGGAACTCGATTCCTATTATTTTGGGAACGAGTTCCCTAGTAAGTGGGATCCATATCCGCATGCCCAAGATCATGGCTCCAATATCATTCGGAACCACGATTCCATCATACCAAGAACCGAGTATCCTACACCATGGAAGCAAGCTACACCTACAAAGTTTATTTTATTCCTATATGGTATTCAGTTTTCCTCAAATTTTCTACGATGCACACATTTTGCAATGACACTTGTGTCCAATTTTAAAGAAAGGCAACTAGAGTAGGGACAAGATTGGAAGGAGGTTCAAAAGTTAGCCGTGTTGCAATTTTATTGTGAAGTGAGGTCACAATCAATACACTTCATTAAGATAAGAAGGATGTGTTACACAATCTGTTAATGGTGCATTTAACGGACATTGTACCAGTGCAGCAATCACATTTCCATCCAAATAGCGATATTCATGAACTCAAAAAACTCAAAAAAGGTAAGCACACACATGCTCACACATCCATTCACCAAATTCTTGCCATTAGCCCCAGAATGGTCATCCTAAAAGCAGTAGCATAGTTCCAGAATATACACTCCATGGAACTAGGACACATCATGCAAGAACATTGTTAATGATGCTGATCACCACCATCCCAAATGTACATGTAATGCCTCAATAACACATTATCATAGAACTTGATTGTTTCTAGTATCTCCAGTTTCAAACCATTCATAAATTATAGCAAGTTGGAAAAATGAAAATCAGGTTCATGACCCACAGAAATTAAATGCAATAAGCTTACATGACTATAATAAAAATCTACAATAGAAATTTACCTGAGAGAAAAGTTCAGCCAGGCAAGTCAGAAGGTTATCATCTGCATCTCCCTGAGTCTTGTTATTACCGTAGTATTCTAACAACTGCTCACGAAAAGGGACACAGAAATAAAGGGCCTGCACACACACATAAATTATTTCAAACAAAGAAAATGGCATGTCACTAGAGAAATTGGAAGCCACAGGACTTGTGATTGCTGGAAATATATTTCATAGTGTACACAGCACAGACATTCAATGTTAGTGCGTTAGAGAGAAACGGGCAGACTTATGAGACAAACGATTCTGATTAAGGCACAAAATGTCACAGATAAAGCATCCATGAATCCCATCACAGCAGGATCTCAAACAAATAAAGCACTTAAAACTTCAAAGGAACCATAAGGACAGCCACCAACCATTTCAAAATGCACTTTCACTAAATATAAATGAGTATAAATACCCTATGAGCAATTACAAATATCGTCTGCACGGCATCCAGAGATTTTTTATTTTTTTTAATTGGAAATGTCAGAGGCTTTCTTTATGATCCTAAGCATGACCAATTAGAAAAGAGGGAAATTTCTATGTGGCACCACAAACATAGAATCAATATGTGACTGGTGCTTCCCAACCATCTGATCTAAATGGATGGCTCACAAGAATATTGACCCTAAAATATTAGGAGTCCAGAGTGGAAGGGAACAAACCCGATGACCATTGGGGTATAGTAAGTAGGTTCAGAATGATTATTTTTCTGCTGGAAAGAAGCCCTCAGTCACCACCCTTATTTCCAGGGGACCAGGATGAATAATGGATTTGTAGGTCTAACAAACCTTGAAGATAAGTAAAAGGCCAATTATGAGGCTTTCCCTACTGGGTATCAGGTCATGCACAGGGATCAAGGACGTCAGTTAAAGGTTCAAATGTTTAGTCGAATCTTGTTGAAGTAAGGATGCAAGATAACCGTAGCTATTACAATTACTGCACATTAGAAGATGAATGGCATCCACCTCATGATTGTTTGGATAGGCTCTTAGCTTATTTTCATTTATTTTGTGCTGGCACTAACTTTATATTTCCCCACAGTTACAAACTGGTATTTTGCCCTTCTCATGTAGAAAAAATTTATTATGCATCCAATATAAGTGAAGAGGAAATGGGATTCAGAGTTAACAATTAACCATTCACAAAAATCTAAACTTGTGAAACTACTTAACTATATTCAAAATTTGTACAATGAAGTTCGATCAACAATGCATAGTGGGCGATAAATAATGCAAAAAGGAAAAAAAAAAAAAACTAGTATGTAGAGATCAATTTAATGACATACGGCAGGTAATTTTTCTTTTGAAAGTTAACTCGGGATCCGGGGAGACTGGAACTCCAGATCACCTATTCCTAAAGTCTGTTCTCCTATACAGCCAGGCAACTAGATTTAAATCTAAACCAATTTGCCCAACAAAAATAGAAGTAAACCAAAATATGCTCAACACTTCTCCTTGCCCATTGCCCATGGAGATTACTTTCACTATTTGATCACATATTTCACTTGTGCAGGAAGATCTGAGTGACATTCTGACATTGCTGAATCTGTCCCCAAGGAAGGCGCAGCGCAGGGTCCCATCGGTAACAGATAGCAAATTTTTAGATTATAGTCCTCTCGTGAGGGTGCAGTCTTCCACTTATTTTGCAACAGCGGGAGTGACAGCCTACAGTTTTTGGTTACTGTGGGAAACTATATACCCTCTATTTTTGATAACTTACTATGTAGCAAGCACCCAAATATGGAATACTATTTTTTGACACTTTAAAAAAATACCTTCAAGATGAAACTTATACACAATACAAACACAAATTCACACTTTCAAAAGAACATATAATATATAAAAGAATTACACCACAACAAGTTCATGGAATGACAACAACCATCCAGCTGTATTACTGATTCTATGAACACATGATAACAATGCTCAAAGACTAAAAGAAGCACTTTCTATACAAACTACTCAGGGTGTAGACAGATGGAGGGGAATGAATTGAAACATTGATAGGAAATGAGCAACAAAGTTGAAGATTCCATCAAGGTTCTCAATAACCAAGGAAGATTTCAGTTTTTAAGACTAGGGGCGGCAAACCAGTCAGGTTGACCTGCGAGATCGAACTGGGTCCAAGTCCAACTCCAGGGGTTGGACCCTATGGGCTGGGTACTGGTCCAAATGACTTGGAGCTGACCGGGGTCAGGTCTAGATTAGCCTTCAATCCTATTAGGTTTGGCTAGGGTTAATCCGACCCGGTACACCATCATTGTTGTCATCTGAACCTTATCCCAGCTATTTGGGGTTGGCTACACAAATCATGTGCTGCCATTCGACTCTATCAAGGGCATTGGATCAGGATTCATGAAATGGAAATGTGGCAAAAAATTTATGCTCGCTGCCAACCTAGCACAACCCTCCTCCTTTCTCTGGGCTTGAGACCTACATGACCAACTTAGGACCGACCATGACCTGACCCGGTATATATAAGTAGAAAATATATAACTATATAAATTAAATAACATTCACTATATATTATAAAGTATATAAATTTTCTTTTCTTTATTTCTAGACCCAGACCCGACACGACCTCGGACTAGGTTCAAGTTGAACCGGACCCGGCCCCACCCATTGCCACCCCTATTTAAAACTTTAGCTTATTGCATATGAAAAGAAAAAGTCAAGAAGAACAAGATTGGGAAGTAAAAGAAAAGATGCCAAAGCACATGTGAATAACAAAAATGTACCCCACTTGGTCACTACACTAATAGATATATCCATCTACGACTACAAACGGTAAAGTGTCAATGCGTATAATACACAGTCAAAGCCATTTAAAAAACGATCACTCCTTTTAACTAACAGAAATATCTAAGAGCAACCAAAATTCTTTTTGGGTGTGTCAGTGAGGAGAGGGCCCCTACCCTTTGTAGGAATTGAGCCTAGAACGTAGCGTTGCAAATCGTCAAGCAGTAACCAATTAAGCCCGGGCTCTTTTCTTAAGACTAACCAAAATTGCTAGCTATTAATGGTAAAATAATCAAAATTTGACAACAATGTCACTCCAACACCAATAAGAATAATAGACCTAACATTTAAATAACAGAAATATCTATAAACAACCAATATTGCTAGCTATTCAAGGTACAATAATAAAAATCCGACAACAATGTGACACCCGCACAAATAATAATAATAGATGTATCTCCTCAATGAGATAGTTGGTGCAGGGATAAATGAGGAAAATGCACCCAGATATCAATAGTAAATGTTGTCCAGTCTGATTTTCTTCAAGGTTCTCAAGAATCAAGGGAAGAGTTCAGTGTAGAGTTACATTAACTGTATTTTGTCCACACACTTATATTTTCGTCTTCCTTTCCAGCGACACTAGGTATTATCAAAACCTGCTCATAGTTGATTGAGTTCAGACTATCTACCCAAGGACATTGAAGTTTAATGCTTATGCTTAATTTTACTTTGCTTTGGATGCTTGTACAATAAAAGCATCACCTAGAGTACAAATCTCCTCAACTCTTCGACACGCTCGTGATTAATGTATAAGGACCTGATAAAAATGCCTCCATTTTTTGGTCTGTTTACCCTTAAGTAATAAAAAAAGGACAAATTAATTTGGACCGCTTTGTTCAACCAGTTATATGGTCAAACTGGTCAATTCAAAATGGTGAGCATTTTAACCCATTCAAATAAACAAAGCATCACAATACAAAAGTTTTTCCTACTATTATTATTATTTTTATTTATTTTTAAATAGATCCACTAAACCCTACTAAAAAAGAACTCCTCCTTTTTATGCAGAGGAAGGTAGGCTACCCTACACTTAAAAATCAAATAAGAGATTTGACCAAGTCATCATTTACCATTTCCTGAATCTTGTTACCACAGTAAAAGAAACTTTTTTTGTTTTTTGTACATCAATTTTGACTGAATGTTGACATTACATAGTAAAAGAAAAAATAGAAATTTGTACGCATGAAACCTGGTAAACGAACAAGAATTCTAGGGTTTCAATTTTAACATCCGCAGAACTGATTCTTCCCATAGCCATTAAACCAATCCAAGTGAAATAGAGCAAAACTTGAATTGAAACAAGATAAATACCATGTTCATCACAAAATTACAACCCTAAACAAATTATCATCATTGTCAAAGCCTTTTCCCAACTAATTGGGGTTGGCACAAGAATCTTGGGCCGCCATTCTGCTCTATTAAGGAACCCTAAACAAATCAAAACACTAAAATAAAACCATCTAAACCATAAAAATTTTCTACCAAAAACAGACGCTCTGTAAGATATATATCTATCAGAATCTACATAAAATGACACTGTTGGCCAAATTATATTGTGGATGCAAAGCAAACAAAAGGAACACAGCAACCGATTATCAAAACAACCATTCAAAGATGAAGGATACAAATTAGGGAAAGATAATTAAACGAACCAAAAAAAATGAAGAAAATGATAACCAAGGGGAAAACCATTAACCTGTAAAACGCTGTTGCAGTAGCAGGTATTACCAAAGTTCTCTAGACCAAAGTAACGCTCGCCTTCAGGGAATTGGTCACCCAAGGCCTTCTCAAGCTTCGAACCAGCGGCTCCCATGACCATGCCCTACTCCTAATCACGCATTCAGCCTCTAATTAATTAGGAGGCATGCTCTGATTCTTCCATGAAAACAAAACAACTGGCTAAAAGTCGTGAAAAAACAGCGCATAAATCCGATAGAAAGAAAGATAGATAGATGGAGAGAGAGAGAGAGAGAGTATAAGGAAATTTTCAGGAGAGAGAAGGTAGAGTTTCAGAGAGAAGGATTTGCGAGTGTGATCTGCCCTTGTTTCAGAGGAGAGAGAGAGAGAGATGGGTCCGTTTTCGATCGAGTATAGTGCAGTTGTTGCACAACAAGCGGCTCACGCGTGGAAACGGAATATAAATAGGAAAAAATATGTAAACCTGGATCCAAATTTCTATAGGGTCAGTTTGTATAAGCCTATAAGGTGTCCACCTTATACTATTGAAGTAAGGTCTCGCTCAAAACTATACCGAAAATGCATCAGTTTTGATACCGCAAAGATTTGCGATGATAAAAAATTATATTATTTCTTTTAATTTTGAAATTTAAAGTTTTAAAGATGATAATTGATTATGCAGATCTATAAACATTTGAAAATCTTGAAAATAAATGATCCAGATAATGTGTTAAAAAGTGAACTATTTTAAAAATTTAAAATTTTTTATTTTTTTAAAAATAATTATTAATATTAAAGTCTACATTTTAAAAAAAAAATATTATTGATATTGAAATCCATATGATCGATTTGATGGTTTTCAGGCATGTAAGTAACACTCTCCATTGATTTTTTAGGTGCCCCATACTTATCCAGTATGAGGTTGACACCTATCTCTTTATTTCATAATGGCCTTGGGTCTGGACCCGAAAGTCCAAACGGGATTTACAATGTAGAGAACTTTCGTGGATGACGAGTGTGCCTCCGTCATGGGATGAACAAGATGAGAGTGGCATGGGCTGGACGCCCACAACCCTAAATAGTTAGAGCCAGGGCTAGCCCAATGTCCAAGCTGTGACACTATAGGCCCAGGTGCCCTAGCCTCGCCAGGTAGAACTGGCCCCTAAAAATTAAGGCCTAGGTCACAAAATATGGCTTGAGGATCCGGTTGGGCAGATAAGATCTAGGGCAAAACAAGGGTTGGCTTAGTTTGGCTTGGTCGAGCCCTTAGTTCTTGATATTCATATATGAGCAATGATTTCATGCGACCGTTATATAGTAATATGATGCAACAACCTTAAAAAACTATATTATGGCCATTTATTTGATCTAAAATTTTAAATATACAATTTTTTTATTTTAATAAATTATTACAAAAAAAAAAATTTGAAAAAACAATTTAAAAAGTATTTTTTTAGCCCAATTACCCTAAGCTGTTCATTTTGCTGAGATGTTTAGATCTAAGCCTTAGAAGGATTTTTTTCATTTTCAAATTTTTTGGATGGCTTTATTATCATTAGATGAACAATGTTAAAAAAAGAAAAAACTGATTTTGAGTTTATAAATGCTAAGATCTTGAAATTCACAAAATAAATGGCCTAGATTCGTTTCTGGAGGGGACTCATTTTGACCTTATCTAGGGCTCAAATTGAATTTTTTTTTTTTGGGAATTGATTATTGAGATAAAAAGAGTGTGTGTGTAAAATTTGAGGTCATACAAATACCACAAACATGATTTTCTAGAAATGTCGTTGCATTATATTATGATATAACTGTTGCATTAGATCATTACTATTTATATTTTTTTAATTTACTTATCCACCAGAACCCAAGTAAGGCTAGGGCCGAGCTTAGGCTAAGAACTTTTTTGCTCGGGGCCGGGCTACACCTGGCCCGGCCCAACAGTCAGCTCCGTGCCAACCCTTGGGTGGGCTGACTTAAAGAGTCTCAACCGAAATTTAATTTTTTGGGAAAATATGGAAAAAGGGGTTGAAACCCTTACAGTATTAAATGCACTTTAGGGTTTGAAGTTTCAATTGGGTACATCCTAAATAAAGGACGTTAAAATTTTCCACATTGCCGCATTCAATATATTTGAAATGCGGGATTGTTAGGGGATTTTTGTCATTTATCACGGACGGATAAGGCATTGGTGCCAATTGATGAAACTACCCTCAATACTTGAGTGGCTCAAGCAAAATTACTCATTTACCCCTGGTTGTTTGTTTTAGAAACACGAAACAGTGTTCCTTTCCTTATATTTTCGGGTCCCGTTTTCTTAATACTGAAATTTGAGGGGCAAGATGAGTTTTCTCTCGATTTAGTTACATGAGCAAAATTACCATCTTTAGTGTTCAATATTAACAAGCAAGAAATGTATTTTTTTTAGTGGAAAATTTTTTTGCACTTCTTTTTGAAGTGGAACAATTTGAAAGGTATTTTTAAAAAAGGGAAAATTTTCTATGCGACTCCACTTATCAGTCGTTCAATCTTAATAAACGGCTAGGATTACTCATGTCATAATATCACGTCACAATACTGTTTGACTTTAAATTTTTTTCTAAAAAACCTGCTAGAATGAAATTTGGGATCTCCCATCTTTTTATTGGGCTGCACTTAGAAAATATTAAAAACAAATATTTTTATAAAATTAAATGACTAAAACGCCCCCAAAAAATCCAACGGTATTATGGTAATTTTTTCATCAAAGAAAATATTTTTTTTATATTTTTATCTTGAACACCCTTGTAAGATGTATGCATGCCCCAATTTTTGCTGCAACATAATATATATAATGAATATTAAAAATAAAAAACTATGAGCCTCAGATCAAGATTTTTACGCTCGAGAGCCAACTTGTGACATTGTGACATAAGCCATCCCAGCCATCCACCAAAATCTGATAACTGAGAATAGGGGTCACAAATAGTTTTTATATAGAGTTATATATAAAGCCTTTCCTTTTTAAAATAATATCAATACCTTGCCCATGCTAAATAACGAAAATACCCCTAAAATTTTCACATTTCAAATATTAAATATTGGCAATTTGAGGAATTGCAATATTTTTTTTAAGGGCATACTTGATTGATACATAAACTTACAAATACATATCCCTGAGTAAAATTTGTAATATTGTAAGGGGTTGATATTTTCCTTTTTTTTAATGAATTAGAAAAGAAAAAAGTTTATATAATGTTGAAGCTCTAAACCATCAAACTAAGCTGCATGTCAAAAATTCACTAGACGAAGTTATGATGCCAAATTACCCTCAAATCCAATCATCTCGACCTTGAGATGCATGGGCATGAAAAAAATGGACTTCATGTCTTGGAAATATTGCATCTTGTAATGCATAATCTAGACCGGCAATTTTTTAATATTTCAAATGTTCATATATCTGCTTGATCTACAATATTTTTTAATATTTAAATTTTATAATTAGATATGAAAATAAATTTTCGGACCATCATAAAGATTTTCAGTACTAAAACGATATCTTTCTACACCATTTGAATGTGTGTCTGCTTTAACGGCGGCTTTTTTTTAATTTATGAAGTAAATATGTACTCACTCTGACAACACAACCCAAGAAAAAGGCCAGGCCCATGTCGGGCCACCTAGCCCATAAATATTTTCATGTGTGACGCCTCTCTTCGTGCGGTTCTCTTTCTTTTCTTATTTCTCACCCTACGAGTTACTTTCTCTTGTAAATGTAGGATTCGAGCATGGGAGCAAAGCATTGGATAGGGGTGGCACTAGACTTGATCAGACCTGAGACATAACGGGTAGGCCTAACCTTGGGTCTAGCTATGGGTATGGTAACATTTACATTATAAAAAAAAAGTGCTCGTCATAAGGTATATATGATGGCAAAAAAAAAAAATAAATCAAAATCATAGAGTGATAATGGATCCGACCAGACTCAAGAACCGACGGGATCGATTATGGGTCCAAAATCTGGACCCAGATACTATTTAGGTCTGAATCTGGGTCTGGGTCCAGCGGGGCCCAACCCGTTGCTACCCCTAACATTGGATATGTTACTATGTCAACTCCAACTAATCAAACCAAAAAGCTTATATGTGAAGTCCAACTAATCAAACCAAAAAGCTTAAATCCATCTTTCTCGACATGTGGGGTTCACTCTCCTCTTGTACAATTTTTGATGGATTTTTCCCTCTTTTTTCAATTGGTGAATTTGTCCCTCTTGTTTATATAGAGGCTCTAAACAATTAAATTAGAGCCTACCTTCAAATAGTGTCGAGAAATGTAGTTTCAATTTTGAAAATCTTTTTGAAAGCTTTAAAATATATTTTTATTTTTATTTATAAATTTTAAAGCTTATTAAAGCTTAAAAAATAATGTAGATCAAGAGATCTATGAAACCTTGAAAATCTTTAAAATTGACCGTCCAAAAAAGCGTTGCAAAATACACTATTTCCAAAACTTGAAATCCATTTTTTTCTCATGTCTATGCATCTTGATGTTGAGATGATCAATTTGATGATATTTGGGCTTCAAAACAACCTCTTCTAGTGAACTTTTAAGATAGGCTTGAATTTGATTGTTTAGAGCCTCAGCTCCATATAAATTTTTCCCTTTTTCTTATCTTGCGATGTTTCCTTTTAGTTTTTTATGAACTTCTCCCTCACTTTCTTTCATGTGAAGTTGTCTCTCCAAACATAGTTTGATTAGGGTAGGTTCTCTTTCTTGAATTCCAGTTTTTTTATCTTATTTTGACTTTAGGTTCTCTAAATTTTTTCCCTATTGAATTTTGGAACCCTCTTTCTGTCCAATAAATAAGCAATTAATAGCTCTAAATCTTGGGCTGCCATGCATGTCCTCCTTGCATGCTCGCAGTACATAATGTCAGGTAAAATAAAATCCAGTTAGATTCCAATTTATGGGGATGTAACATCATTATCTATAAACTGACCTTGGTAAGAAATATTTCCAAATTTCATAGTCTATGCTCTTCAAAGAAATTATGTCCGACCATTCTATTTTCAAAGGGTGAGATCTAAGTGTTACACAACTCAAAATACAAAATCTTTTTAATAAAATAATGATCTAGTGATTTTTAAGTGGTTCAAAAATCTCACAAGTAGGTCTCCTAACTGAGGGAGTAGGTGTACATTATGTGCTCCCACAGGAGCATTGTATACGTATTGCTGCTCTCTATATATCTTAGCTTTCCAGGCCTCATGTTCAGCGAAAAAGAAAGAGAAGGCCAGGAGTGAACCAAGCTTTAGAGAGAGAGAGAGCGAAGCAAAGTGGATTGGCAAGCATTTATTTTTCTTTGAGGGTTAGTATTTTAGGGAAAGGTTTCTATGCTTCTCCTACAACGTAGAAGTTTTATCCTCCTCCTTCCATCCAGCCGTCCAATTTTGATCCAAAGACTCACCGTTTGATCTTGGATTCGATATCT